TTTTCAAATTTATTCCCTCAAAGGGCATAATTCAAACTAATGAAAAAGAATGGAAGACCGTTGTTCCTAAGTCCCAAAGAAATGATGTTATTAGAAACTCTCATGATCCACCTACATGTTCACATTTTGGTTTTTACAAAACTTTTAGTAGAATTCAGGAGAATTATTATTGGCCAAAGATGCGCCCTGATATTTTGAGATACATTCGTCAATGTAAAGTTTGTCAATCACAAAAGTTAACTAACACCTCACGTTTAGGTTTAATGGGCTGTGAAAAGCAGGTAAACTTTCCTTTTCAAGTCCTAGCTGTCGATCTTATGGGACCATTTCCTCGATCACCCCGTGGATTTACATATTTACTTGTAATTGGAGACTGGTTCTCGAAATATACCATTCTATGTCCCCTAAGAGACGCGACAGCACCAAACATAGTTAAATTTCTAGAAAATCAAGTGTTTTTAGTATACGGTGTACCTCAGATTATCATTGCGGACAATGGTACCCAATTTGCAGGAAAAATCTTCAGAAAGTTGACAGATACGTATAAAGTGAAAATTTGGTTTACGCCTTGCTATTCAGCGCAGTGCAACTTTGTTGAACGTAATAACAAGACAGTTGGACAAGCAATACGTAGCTATATAGTTGAACATAAGGATTGGGACAAAGAGTTATCTAAGATTCAATTTGCTATTAATACATCTGTACATGAAGTGCATAATTATGCCCCAGCATTTTTTAATTTTGCTAGAAATATTCCTCACTCAGGTAACTATTATAGTAATATATCTGATACAGTAGGGATAGAATTAAATCCTCAAAGTAGATCTGAGTTTGTAGAAAATATTTCTAATTTAGATACAGTTTTTAAGGAAGTAAAGAATAAATTGCATCAGGCTTACCAACGAAATTCACGAGCATATAATTTGAGAAAGAAAGATTATTCTTCCAATATTGGAGATAAAGTTTGGCGTCGAAACAAGGTACTTTCAGAAGCTGCAGTGAAGTTTAGTTCAAAACTAGCACCCAAATATGTTTTGTGTGTAGTTAAAAGGAAGGTTTCACGTTTAGTTTATTCTCTGGAATATGAGAATGGTAGTCCAGCAGGAGACTGGCATATTAAGGATTTGAAACCTTATTTTGGGTCTAACTCGGACATATCTGTCGGTTAGTTTTTTTGAGATTTTTTGAGATATATTTTCGAAATTTTTTGAAATTTTTTTGAATTTTTTTGGAATTTTTTGCAAGTTTTTAGGAACTTTTTGGTAGCTACCGTGAATGTGAAAGTTCACAAAAACACCCTTGGAATGTTCTAAATTGTGACATTCAGTATTTTGTATTTAGCATTTCGAATTTTTTGAAATTTGAAAATTCAGCCCCTGAATTGAAACTGTCAGATTGCAACAGTTTTTCAATTTTTCTCATTGCTGACGAGTAATGAGATTTAGATAGATAGATAGATTCTTTATTGTTCTTCAAACTTAACAGTTTTTAACAAGGGTTCAGGTACATGATTAGAAGTAATATCAAAAAATAAACAAAGATAGATATGAATACATTGATATTCAAGTGTGTAGCAAACTGAGGATTAGCAAGAATAAAAACAAAAATACATTGTTATACAGAGAGATAATCTAAAGGAATGATTGGCATTATGATTGCGATAATAATGTTTGGCAGTGATTTACAATAATTCACTCATTTAAGATGAAAGATCTCAATTTCATGATGTTGTACATATGGTTATAGATAGTTTTTCCTATTGTTGACGTTATATTATTGAGAACGTTAACAAAGTTTTCCATGTTGGAGAGGTATTCGACGTTCGGAGGTTTCATAGAGGTATAGATCGGACATTCAAAGAGGATATGTCCAATCGTCTCATATCTTTGTTGATTACAAATGGTGCAGAACTCTCTCGGATTGATATGGTATGTGTTACCATGAAAAGTCAGTTTCAACATGTATTTATTTGATAGTCTGATTTGTGCTATGGTTCTGGTTATCTGTATTTGTATTCTCAAATTGAGGTACTGTCGTGAGTTGTCTGTCAGTTCCGGGTAGAAATTTAAAAAGGAGGATCGCATTGCCAAAGATCTGTCTTCATGTCTTAGCTTCTCTTCGAAAGTATTGAGAAGTTGTTTTTTGATTTTTCTGAGGTCTATTGTTTCAATATTCGTTATATTCATGGGTGAATCAGCATATTCGAAAAAAGTTTTTATTTGCATAGTCCAGTTGTATTTGGATTCGCAGGTTGTGATTTCTAGTTGCCTTAGAAAACAGATCTTTGGAAGACGGTGATCTCCCATTTGTTGGAGTTTGGTGAGCCAATTTATAATGTGCTTGAAAACTGTGAGTGAGATTTTCACACGACCAGCTTCCAGCCTGACGATTGCGTCTGGAGTGTTGATGGGGAGAAGGAGTATTCGTTTCAAAAAATTGATTTGGACGCGCTCTATGAGGTCGATGTACCTTGTTCCCCATACTGGTATACAGTTAGTTACGAGGCTGAGAACTAGTGAGTCAAGCAGTTGCATGCGCGATTCCCAGGAATCCATTTTAGTTCTCCTCATCAGAGCTGTTACTGAGCTAGTCGCATGTTTCGCTTTTTCAACTGTCAGTCGGGACATTTTATTGAAAAGGGAAGAGGAAGTGAAAGTGACGCCAAGATAGACGAATTCTGTGACGATATCAATCTCTTTTTCTTTATACAGGAATCTGGCTTTCTTTGATCTCGGGTTTCCTCTCGAGAACAGTAATATTTTAGTCTTACTAGTATTCACTTCAAGGAGATGGCGATCACTATACTCTTCTAGAATCCTGAGGTTTCTACTCAATTGAGCTTCTGATTCAGTGAGAATGACCAAGTCGTCTGCATAAAGCAGCATTATTAGTTCTCGTTTGTTATTCAAGTTTATTCCTTTAGCTCCTCTCGATGAAAAGAATTCCTCAATATCTGCAATGAATAGTGAGAACAGTAAGGGGCTCAAGGGGTCACCTTGTAGTACGCCAGCAGTGATATCACAAGGGGTTGTATATCCTTCGGAACCGAGGACTTTCATTGACGCGGTGCTATAGATGCTTCTCATGATTGAGAGCATTTTGGTGCTAACTCCCAGGCTGAAGAGTTTTTGCCATAGGAGAGAGTGATTGATTGAGTCGAACGCTCTCTTATAATCCACGAAAACGGTGACCACTCTTCGTTTTCGTAGTCGTAATTGCATTTGGATCGCGCTGGTGAGAACGAATACGTTGTCAATGCTTCCCCTTGTTTTTCGAAAACCTGACTGAATTTCAGGGAGTATGCTATTATATTCTGCCCAGTTCGTCAACCTGTTCGAGAGTATTTGAGTGAATATTTTTCCTATACAATTAATCAGAGCTATGCCCCTATAGTTAGCGGGATCGTCAGTGGGGCCTTTCTTGTGGACCATTTTAAGTGTGATTTCACTCCAATTTTCCGGGATGATAGCTGTGTCTAGTATGTTATTGAAAAGGCATGTCAGATAAAGTACCCAGTTATTTGACAGATTTTTGTAGAATTCGTAAGGGATGCCGTCGTTGCCTGGGGCTTTGTTATTCTTACAGCTATTTAATACTGCGTACACTTCCTCCTGTGTGATTGGGTTGTCTAGAAATTCATGTCTGGCGTCAAAAAACAGAATGTTATCGATCGTCCTGGGGTTGTAAATGTGTGTGTAGAAGGTTTGCCATGTATCAGTTGGAAGGTTTACTCTCAGGCTCTGGCTGCGAAATGTTTTTAAGGTCGACCAAAATGTTTTGGCGTCCCGACTGTTTGCTAAATCATTCAAGATATCATTATAGTATGCTTTTTTTTTTAGTGTTATGATTTTTTTATAGTTTCGTTTTGATTCAAGAAATATGTTTTTTTGTTCATCACGGAAGTTATTTTTTTTGCATAATTTGAGATTATGTTTGACTTGTTGTTTTGCAGTATGGCATTCTTTATCAAACCAGGGGGTTGATGGACGTGTTGGTGAGTGTGTTGGTGAGTATGGGCGTATTTTTTTGCAGAGATTTAGTTGAGTGGCTATTTCTATTATAGCTGAGTTTAGGTTTTCGCAAGAAGTTTCAATGTCCGGAGTATATTGCACTTTTTCAGAGTTTTGCATAGCAAGTTTATATGACATTGTTTTTTCGTTGTCCCATTTGACTATTCGTTTCGAAGACTTGGAAGATTTATCAGGGTGTGCTCTGTTTTCTGGAACTGTATGCCGACTTTTTGATTTAAAGGAAATTAGAACTCCAAAGTGATCAGAAATACAGAATTCATTTAGGATAGCGAGGTCATGTATGTAAGGCAGGCCACTATCGTTTATCCACGATAGGTCGATGACACTGTTTCCGAGTCTACTAATGTGAGTGAATTGAGCTGGGTAGTCCGAGAGAGTCCTTCCATTCAGCAAGCAAAATGAGGTTTCGTTCATGAACTCAATTATATAACGTCCTCTTGTGTTTAGTGTTGTGTCACTAGATTGCCTGAACTCAAGAATACTGGAGTTTTCGAGGATCTCCGGTGGAATAGTTCCCAGTTCTGCAACCCTGCAATTGAAATCACCCCCTATTATGATGGGGATGTCGAAGAAATTTTCGGATGTTTCCAACAAGGATGCTCGAAAAATTTCCAGTATGTATGAGAGATCTAGGGATGGTTTAAAATAGACGTTGCACACTATAATTTTGAAATTGTGAGGAAAAGTCAACTCGCATATTATCCACCATGGGGTAGAGTCTAATGTTTTAGCGACAATATCATTTTTGGTGAATATGCAAAGACCGCCACTGGCTCTACCAGTGGACTTTTCCTTGATAGCTACAGATTCTATAATATTGAAGTTAGATAAATAAGCAGGAGAATTGTTCATTTTATATTGTAACCAAGATTCGCTAATACATAGTACAGAAAAATTATTATATTCATGGGCAAATTCCCGCACATTCCCAAAACCTTGACAATTCCAAAATATAATATTGAGTAGTTGCTATTCGGTGGGTTCCCTGCGTTCTCCATTAAGCAATTCGTCTTGTTTCGATTGTTTTCTTTTAGTTGAAGATCTTGGAGAAGATTCTTCGTCTCGAGTTCTTTTTGAAGTAGGGAGAGGGACAATTCTCGGTACATTATTACGATATTTTATGGTTAGGTTTTTTTCTCCGTTTTGAGTACGAAATTGTAGATCCTTTTTGAGGTCCGCGAGATATTTCGATTGAGCAGGTGTGTTGTCTGATTTCAAATAGACTCCGAGGAAATCATTTTTGGGCATACTCTTCGCGTTTTTGAGGATCATCAGTGCGTGTTCGTTCGAATCAAATGTAATTCTAAGTAGGCGGGGTTTTCCGTTAGTAGTCTGTTTCCCGAGTCTATAGGTAGATACCACCGATTTGTCAGCATCCGCAATTATGTGATTGATGAGTCTCTTCGCTTCGAAATCATCATTAGAAGTTTCGGTCAGTCCAATTGCAATTACATTCTTTTGGCGTTTCACTCGTTCTAGGATTTCATATTGTAATTCTTCGGGCTGGCTCACGGCTGAAATCCTATTTTCGATGGTTGAAATCTTAATTTTCAGTTTTTCATTATCTGATCGTAGGCATGCTATGTCATTGACACATTCTTTAATGGTTTCATTTTGAGATTCAACTAGCGCGCTCAGTGTATCGATTTTGGCTGTTAGTGTATTATTTAGGACAGCAAACTGGTCCATGATTGCTTTGAATCTGGCGGATTCAATGTCTGCTGGGGCAGAAGCTTCCGCTTTCTTCGATGCCACGCATTTTTGGCACGCCCATGACTGGATCGTAGTGGGTTGGAGATCGGCAGGCTGTGGCGCAGCACACACGCCGTGCCAGTGTCCATCACATACTGAGCATATTAGCTTGCCGCTGTCTTTCGATTGAATCGATCTCAAGCAAGCGGGGCAAGTATGTATCGTCATTGTTATGAGTTTTTTGTTGGTGTTAATTCAGTTAACTTCAGATATTGTTGTTTTCAGTAATTTTGGTGCACTTACTTGTTTATTTTGGGAAGATATCACTTATACAATGTGTAATAACTTTTGCAACGTACAATTGAATTCACAGAATGACTTCGACCGATGAGTACGATGTGTACGTTTCGGCGGTCGGCACTGAACTCCATTGCTGACGAGTAATGAGATTTTCCTTTTTGTACAGTATTTAGATTTAGGTGTGAGTTATGTAAATATTATGTAAATATCTCTGTTCCGGATAATTTTGGATAGACTTTCCCGATTTTGTAAATTTACTCGATTATGAATTCCACCGACTTAGACTTCCCGATAGTGACCTCCCTTAGGATGTTTAGTACGCATAGCTACTACCCCAAGTTGATCCCTGATTAGAGGTATGCATTTGATCTTCATGGTCATATTTTTTGGGGTAAAGGTTGGTTATCCCTGGATTATTCCTAAAGCTACCTGAACTTGGACATGTTCCCAACTAGTGTTATCACGGCAGTAACACCGCTGTTATTTATTTCCACTGCGTTATGTGGACAGACATAACCAGTGATGGTCCAAATACTGTTCCAAATCTTTTTCGGTCGGGCTAAGAGCTGGTTATCCCTGGAATTGTTCCTAAAGCTACCTGGACTTGGACATGTTCCCAGCTAGTGATTTTATCACGGCAGTAACATCGCTGTTTTTTATTTTTGCCACTGGTTATGTGGACAGTCATAACCTGTGATGGTCCATGCACTGCTCCACCCTTACTTTTTGGAAGTGATCAGCACTTTTGATGCTGATACTTCACATTTGCTGTGGGATATTATTTTCAATTTCGATACCTACATTTCCCACAGTATTTTTGAGTAATTTTTGAAAAGCCAAGAGCTATTTTTTGTCTGTAGGGACCTTGGAAGCGTAGGGGTCGTGGACAACAACGTGATGTAGGTCGTCATAGTTGTCTCATGATAGGTTGGGCTGACGAGATATATTATGTCTTGTTGAATTTTTGTTTAGGCGGGTTCAATGGGCATATTTTTCGAAAGTACCGCTCTTTTGCTTTTGCACTTGAGTAGTCTCTAGGGACGACCTAACTCTACGTGAATAGGAATACTCCCGAACGTTTTTTGTTGAATCTTTTTGTTTCAGGTTTGGCCTGTTTAAGGTTGGTGGCCGTATGTCACCCCAGTTGAACGGTGGACAGCTGGTTAAATCAAAATTTGAAATTTCAAACTTTCTTTTTTGTTTCCACCTCGGGATTTTTTAGTGAGTTGCCTTCGTTCGTTTAGGAGTTGACATCTCACTGATTGATTCTGAATGCAATTTCAATATTTGGATACTGATATTCGTCTCGGTGATCTGAAGTACTTATCCCTCTGTATCCATTGTAATTTTTTTGAAAATTTAAATCAATCCAAATTCAAATTTTTTCTTGGGAGAGAGGTGATGTAGCATGTAAATATTCACTACTGTATATTTTGTCTGATTCTATACTATTTTGTACAGCTGAGCATATCTGACAGGATATTTTGTCACAATAACATGGTTAACATTTTTCAATAACATAAATTGAACTCAATCTGCTTCATATTATTCAATTATTCTCAAACCTGATATGTGGATACACACCTGAGATTTCACACTGTACATAAAATAAAAATTCAATTTCTATAAATACACTGATATCTCTTGCTATATCTGCTTTGTTGTGATCCAAGTAGAAGGATGATTCGGATGGTTTTTACAGAAACTTATCTGAAAGAGATAAATAATATAAAGTAATATGAAATACCATTTCAGAGACATTCTCATACTCACTTTTCACACTGCTATTTCCACTTGAAACTTCATCACAGTAGGACAATAGGTATTGGATTTTCCAGGAACGCTGATGCGGATGGTTTCACTAGGAATCGACCATGGTGAATCAATTAACTTCGTTTGGCATTATTTTCTTGATTGATGCATTTGATGAATTCAGGTTGATGTTTTGATTTTGTTGATCTGTTATTTCGCTTTACGTCAAACAGCTGTCGGTCATGACACCATGTCAACGGTGTCGAACTTGTCATGCGCCAAACGCCGATTCGGATTGATATGTCCTCAGATCATCATCGTCGAACCAACAAGCCGATTATCCGTGAAGAAAGGTGTGACGTCATTTTGGTCATCAATTCTGATCGGTTCAGATAGACATCTAAGAAGAATCAAGTCTCTGGAGGGAGTAGCGATAACGTCTTTGATTTTGGATATTCAAATTCTCCGCCAATTTGAAAAGCGGAAACTGTTAAGTTGTTCTCGAAGTTTCTGGAAATTTGGAGAAGGGATTTCCTTTCTGGTCGTGAGACAAGAGCTCACTTCAGAAAATTCTTCGTGGTGGTCAAGTGCCATTTTTGTGGTGTGAACCGGCTTCTGAAGTCCTGTACCGCCTGGCGTTCTGGATCACATCAGGATATCCTGGATTTGCTGCTGATCTACAAGGACTGCTGGACTCTACAGATTTTTCTGGTTTTGGTTTAAGAGGCAGGATCTTCATGGTTCATCACCCAGGCAGCCACGTGCCTACCTTCATCGTCATTTCAATCCCCAACCCTTCATAGAAGGTGAGTCTCGCATTATTACGTATTTTCTCTCTGCAGTCCAGAAATTCAGAACCTCATTTTCATGAATTATTTAAGGGTTTTTTCACCGGGAGTTTTCTACCGGGAGTTCTACAACGGGAGTTATCCTACCAGGAGCACTATTCTTCCCAGGAGTCATTGCTCGACCAGGATCTGTTAATTCTACAAGGCCTTTTGGTGGCTATATAGTAGTCTGGAATCTGGAATCTGTATATCGTCCCCTGTTTGTTCCTGATATGATGGATTTTCAAGGTGGAAATACGACAACTCTGTCAATGTCATCTGACATCCAGGGATGTGAAGTCAGCACCCCGCTCTCCGCCAATCTTCCCCTCAGAAGCTTCATTTGGTAGCACTGAAGCCATTTTTATCAAGGATAACTGGTGTAGGACACACCATACAGGTTTTTGACATAAAAATATATTTTTATTTTTCATTTTTATTCACTCATAATGCCTATTGCTAGTGTGTATAATGGACCATTTTTGAATCATAGCTAGGTCAAAAATTGATGAAATTACACATGAAAGGTACATACTTCCCCTCCACATAGTATACTATGCGCTGGTAGAATTATTCAATATTAAATATTTCTTCAAAATCTGCTATGACTATAAAAAGTCCTTACAGGAGCTCTTAATTTTTCAAGTACAATATAAGGTTGGTTTATACATATTTTCATCCACATAATAGCAGGCAACAGTGTATTTTCTTAACAGGAAATAGGTATCTAATATTCTTTTGATTATGCATATTTGTCAAAACCTGTGATGTGATATAATATGGTCCTATCATCAAATTAAATGTTTTGGGTATTGTAAATGACTGTTTTATTTGTTTATTGACATGACACTCCAACTCACAACATCTCTAAGGTAAATTTAGGTCTTTTAGTCTGGGAGAACAACTAATATTATTCATTATCTGGTTGCTCAACTTTCCAGGTAACATTTCATTTGAATTAAAAGTTGCAGTGGCGCCCCATCTTTTTTGTTTAACCTTATGATTGCTAGATAACTGAATTTTTGCTATTTTAACTCATTTTGATAACTCGAACTCATAGTGCCTACTGACGAAAAGCTGCCGTTCGCAATGCACCTATTTTTCATAAAAGTAGGGCTGCAAGTTTTTCCTTCAATGTCCGTATAACACGTTCAGCAATGAACTGATAATGGTTGATGGAGAACTTTTTCATCAGACTTTGAAACTTTTCGTTGTAGAATTCGGTACCTTGATCGGTTTGCAAGTTCTCGGGAACTCTGGTGTTGCCAGCATGTGATAGGATATCTGCAAATGCTCGAACTCGAACCAGAAAATTCAACGTTGGTGACATTGTGAGAATAAGCAAAGCCAAACAGGTTTTCGAAAAGAATTATACACCTAATTGGACTACTGAAATATTTAAAATCGTAAAAGTTCGTATTACGAAACCTACTACATACATCTTGGAAGATTTGCATGGTACTCCGATCAAAGGTGCCTTTTATCCTGAAGAATTGCAAAAAACTGAAAATTCCGATGTTTACTTAGTGGAAAAAGTTTTAAGGAAGAGGGGTAAAAAGGTGTTTGTCAAATGGCTAGGATTCGATGATACACACAACAGCTGGATTGATTCCACCAACGAGTAATAATGTAATCATATGGGGAACTAGCACAAATTCAATGGATGTGAGGGGCCTTTCACGTCGATCGCTGACAAATAACAACCATTATCGGATGTTGTGACGAGTCTGCAGTGGTGGTATAAATAGTGAGGACCGACCCGATCCGACACATTAGTTTGATTGCAATGAGTATCGACACTGGTTATTCGTCTTGTGAAGTGTTTTTCGAAAACGGTAGTACTAGTTCATCATCAATGATGGGTTATTATGGTGACGTTGATACGTATTTGAAGATGGTTGAGCAAGCAGCGAAAGCAGAATCGTACCTCCTGCTGACTTCATCGTTCCAGTTGTCCACCTACATGATTCAGTGCGGACTTAGTCCAGCTAGACAGTTCAGTCCGAGCATCATCCTGAAGAAACCCTTCCATCCAGCGAAAATTTCGTTCTCCACATATGAATGGGCCACCTTCATCGATTCGCTGTATAAGGTACAACAAGACTTTTTTGAAGCACCTCTGCCCTGTTTCATTGATGAATCTGATCCTGCCGTTACCACCTGAGGAGACTATATCACCATAACCAAATTCGTTTGCGATGGTGTCAAAATGTTGTCACTCACCAAATACCACATTACATTTGAATTGGTGGAAGAGGATGTTGCAGACATTTTGGGGGCTGAAACGTGTGTTGTTTCACATCGAGTTGCGCTAATAAACAAATTGGACTTTTCCATGTATTATCAGAA